AGGGGATGGATTTATTATTGTTGCCACACAACTAAAAGGTAACACCCTTCTGACTGCAAAATAATACACTTTCTGCTAATGGAAGCATTTAACAAAGCTGGGAAAAAATGTCCTTGATATTTACTAATAGACCAATACCATTTTCTAGGGCCAGCTCCTCAAATCTTCAGACCCTTGACATGAGATTTAAAGCTTTTCTTAATTAGTTTATCTACTTTGAAATATGAATATATTAAAAGATCAAACAAAAAGTATGGGCTTATATTGTTTCAAAATTTCTTTTGATGGAATTCTAAGCAACAGGTCAAGTTGAAAACCTCACTCTCTGTCCCTACAGTTTTTTCCAGTCCTACTTTTCAAACAAATGGGGTGTGAGGTGTGATGGCAATGGTGCAACTGCTGGAGTTACACTTTAGAGCATCACTGAGTGCTGGGCTTTTTTATTTGCTGGGAATGGATTTCATTCTAATTTTAAAAAAAGGCTGATGAAGAGGTGAATAAGCCATTTTCAAGATGTTCACCTGTCTGTCAGTTGGTGGGGACTCAGTTAAATCCAACAGCAACATCTTCTACTACTGTTGCAGGTGTAATTCTTCACCCTGGCATCAGCAGTGAGTTATTAGTGATCAGCAGCACTTCGTTGCCCTGTCTTGGTTAGTGAGAGTTGTCCACTGGGGGGTTCATCAAGCAGTCTCTCAAAAATTCTGGTTCTTTCCTCGTGTAAAACAGTTGATACAGGTGATGGATGGAAGCACCTCTGTCTTTTCCACAAAACCAGTTCGTGTGCAGAACCCTGGAAAAACAATCCCAAGTGTGAACTGCTTGGGCATCAACAGTTCTCAAATCAGTGTTTATTCAATTCGGGGGTTTTTGTTATGGAAATCAGTTAAATATAGTCGGTATTTTTTAGTTAGTAGACCACATGTTGATGGAGTACAGACATCTCCTGGTAGGTGTGAAAGAGTTTAAGAAGAAAGTGTGATAAAATATACATATTCTTTCTGTAGAAGAAAGAAAGAAAGAAGGGAAAGAAGCTTTGTCTGGAAGGATTTTTACTGTCCTTCAAGTTAAAGAAAAGGAAAGGTACATTATTTGAGCCTTTTCTCCCGCAGCCTTCTTTAGCGACTTACAAGATGAAAGTAGGATCTCTTTGAACGTGAAAACCTTCAAGTGAAACACGATTGTTTAGCATTTAGTAAAAGAATTTAATGAACTCTTAGTAGTACGTTCCTCATATATCTTCATTTGAAGCACTTACAATATACCCTAATATACCCAGAAAAAGTACCACAGGTGTTGGGAGGAAACTGCTTTCCACTTGGTACTTTAGTATGTAAATTAAATTGCCTGAGCCATTAACACATTGGAGCAAACATGGGAGATGATCGTTGGGAGCTGCAAATATTATTTCTTTTCACCGAAGCCTTTTAGTCATTTAAAACTGGGGGGGTTTGGATACTTTGTATTTCTCGCCCTGGGTTTAAAATTCTATTCTGAAATATGAAAAACTATATTTCCCAGGGACTCTACATTCTTCTATTACTGCAACAGTGTTATCCATAATTCAAACAAGCAGATATTTGCTGGAGGTAGAACATCTGATACAGACCATGCATTAAGGATGATGTGATGAGGTCTCCAGTTGGAGGGAGCTAATTAAATGTGGGAGAGCTGTAACTGAAGTGAGGAGGTGAGAAAACACTACAAACTAAACAGAAGCTGCTATTTAAATGTTTGCACTTTAGAAATGCTTGTATGGCTCGTGTTCTATTTTCTTTTCTGCAGGGCCTTATATAACTACCACCATGACAACAGTTAAGTCTGTTCCTATAGTGGATCAAGCAAACTAACTGAATGTCACATTTGAGCTATTCTTGCCCTTTTTCTTTTCAGTCATGGACCACAGAAATCTGGGAAAAAATGGTGGTTTATATCAGCTGCTGGACCCAGATATGTATTTATGTACCATTAATGTGAAGTTATCTGTAGATATTACCTGAAAATCGAAATTAGTCCTGAAAACAAAGCTCACACTTGTCCCAAACCCGGAGGAGAACACTGCAGAAGGTGTTTAGGTGTCCAGAGAAATCAGTGAGACATTTTGGCTCCACACTATAAGAAAGTCCACATCTGTGATTTGCTAATCCCCCATGGGTTTGTGATACAATCTCAGAACACAGATATTACATTGGATGGAAGCCCAGCTGAGAAGAGTTATCAGTTAGGTATAGGGAGAACATGAGCAAGCCTGAAAAAGCTATTTTGGAGAAGAAAGCAAGCTTGCAGAGTAGTTATCTTGTTTTGGAGGCCATGGGAAGGTTTCAAGTGTTCTATACAATCAAGTTAGTTCTCTGGTTAAAATTCTGGTGATTTCCCTTTCCTTGGACAGTAAAATACATTACTTTTGGTTTTTTCTCTGAAGCTATCTCTGTAAGAGAAACTTTCTGCTGGAGATATTCCCTGGGGAAAGTCAATATTCCATAGTCTTTACCTAGACCCAGAGAGAGCCTTGCATATGGAGTTCAACCACTAGAGAAGTTTCAGACAGTTGTTGCATAACTAATGTGCTTGATCTAGAGAGGGAAGAAAACATGTCCCAAGTAAGATGGTGTGTTAAACCGAAACTGTAGTGAAAAGTAAATCAGTGCAATCAGAAGGCCATTTTCTTCATGACCATCCACCATGATGATGACAATAATTTGCCATTCACTCCTGTCCCAGCCTGATGCAGAGGGAAGGACACATTCATCAAAGAAGGAACATGTTTAATCAGTTCATGCTGTGTTCCACTCCTGATGTAATGTTTGAAGATTGTGGTGCAACACAGTCACACCCACTCATATAATAATTAGGGAATAATTAATTTGCCACAGTGGCAGCCATAAAAAGTCAATGAGCCTCGATGTGCAATAAAAACAGAGGCATAGAGGGATATATAAAATTTCAGGAAAGGGCACTGATCTTGAATTTGTTGAAGGTAGTGGCAAAAAAACCTGCAAGTGCAAAATGAAATCCCGCGTCCCATAACCAAAAAAACCACAGTAACCTGTAAAAGGCAACCCCAACAAACATAAGAACAGAATAACAAACATACTTACATCACTGCAACTAAAATGTATACTGAGTAGATCTCAGAAGAAAACCTGAAAATTGGCAATGAGTAGAGATGACTGGATACCTTTTTCATGTATATTTTATTGTTTGAATAATAGCATTAGTCTCAAGGCAGGAGAGATTTGGCCCTTCTGTACTTTTCCCCAAACCTCAAGTGAATTTTACCTGTGGGAGAATGAATGATTGGCTCTTTGTGAAATTATTCTTCAGCATTAGGCATTGTTCCTTTAAACTTCTGTTACAAAGAGCACCTCATTCCAAAGCTTCCAGTCTCCTGTCTCCAACTTCATTAGAGAGGATCGCTGCCTACCTGTGACTTTTGCACTTTTTTACGTCAACAATTTACCCTTTCAAAATGTTTACAAACCATCTGGCTCGTATTTCATTTTAATCAGACCAAATCTGGGAAAATAACTCGTGGTTTTTTTGTAATTAAATTATCTAGAAGAACAACAGGGACAAAATATCATATCTTGTAAGAGATATACTAATGCCTTCTTCACACCTAAAGGTATCATTGCAAATTGCTGTAGTGGCTCAGAGATTTTGGAGGGTGTTTTCAGAATACCTGAACATTTTCTTAAACTTTCTTCCGTGGAGTTTATGGGAGTTTTTATAGTTGATTTTAAGGAGGGAAAGAAGGCAGGTGATGCTCAGATCTTTTAAAACTCAGACATTATCTTGGTTCTTTCCAAACCGGTGTTCTCTGGGGCTGTTTAAATGACCTGCTTGATTTTCCAGTGTGAGAAGGTTGCCTGAGACAGGACTGCGCACAATTTTCACAACTGAATCCAAGAAAAGGATTCAGTAGGATTCCTGATCCTGATTTAACAGAACTGTTGGGATAGTTGGAGAAAATTTGCTAATTGATGATTTATATACGATTATGGCTTTATAAAAATCTTGCAATATTCCAAGAGGGACCACAGAATGTGACCACGCACATATGTATGCAGAGAAAAGAAAACAAAAGGTGTTAGTCTGGTCTTCCAGCTCCTCTGCACACACGTGTGTTAAATCAGAGCCAGTGGAAATCCTTGAGCACTCCCTCTTACCTCTCCGATTTCAGAATAACAGGGGAAAGTTGAAACAGGTGTTGGGGAAAAAAAAAAAAAAAGGAAGCAGGTTTTTCTCATCAGGAATACATTCCTCATGCCTGTTACAAATGTTTCCCCGTTCAAAACGACATTGTTTCCTGCCGGCAGGGAGAGAGTTAAATCAAAGCAGAGGTTGTTAAAGGAGCAAAGAGGAAATGCGAGGCAATGGCACAGATAAGAATATCTTCAGATAGGTGGCTTCAAAGGAGCTCCGATGATAATGGCTGGGTCATCACTTGGAGAAAAACTAATGAGCTGGCTCCATCCAGGCTACAGTGGGTGCTCTTCCCAAGGCTAAGTGGGGGATCAAAGAAGCCTAAAACCTCAAAGAACTAGAAAAGGGAGGGAGAGCTCCGGGTGAGCCAAGAGAGGCTTCCCAGAATGTGTCAATTCCGGAGCTGACAGGCTGGGAAGGCTCCCAGACAGAAAGAATGTGCTGCAAGCAGTGTAGCTGTTCCTCCTGAGAGAAACTAATCTGGATTTATGTAAATTATACGGTGTGGAAGTTTAGATTTGGGAACATGCATAAAAAAGAAAACCATTATTTTTTGCATTAACACCTGGGCCCGCGATCTTTATGTCTTTGAATTAGTGAACAAACAATATTTTGCTATCAAGTAAGCGCGGTTTGGAACTTTTTAATTAGCCTCTTAGCAGAACTCCTTCGGTAACTAAGCCCCAGCTGAAGGTATTGAAGTAATCCTGGTGGTTACCCAGGAACTGTTACCCGGCTACGCGAGGGCAAACTGCCAAATTGCTGCTTAGGAAACGAAGTACCCCGGGCTCGACACCGCTGTAAGGCCGTAACCTTGAGAAGGGACAGCATTCAATAACCCTGGTGAGGCTTTCTCATAGCAATGGGCCGAAGTGGGCTATGAATTTCTAAGCAGATCTTCTATGAATGAGGAACTGTTCCCCAGGAAGGGCTGGTGATAGCCCAGCGCTGATGGACGGGTGTGGAGCGTTGGGCACATGCACTTTATTTGTCCGAGATACTTAACGTTTGTCGTGGGGATTTTTCTATCACGTTCACTGCATATTTTAAAGTGACTAAGACGTAGGTGAAGATAAAAGATTATTGTGAAGATCTCCCCAAATGCCGGGTGATGGCAATGGAAGGATCAGTGAATACAACAAGGGTGTGAGTATTCAGTGGGCCATTTCGGCAAAGCTTTGTTGTTTCACAAATACCCTCAACTAGAAAGAGGCAAATCGTGCTATTGGAAGAGAAAAAAAGAAATATCTCTGGAGAATTGTTTATCTGTCTACAGAGATGAACTGTGGCACTTTGGAGAACTCAGTGTGTTAAACCCCCTCCCTTTGTGCTACCAGAATACCTTACAGGGGAGCGGCAGAGTTCTTTCCAGTTTAGTTCTGACAGCAGCACGTACTAATCTGCAACCTTATGGTGCCGGAGTGCGATAATGCCCTGACAATACCAGAGGAAATCTGCAGCTGCTCTCTCCATGTCCTCCTTCTGAGAATCCAGCACGGTCTGTTGATACCATCCAGCACTTGGATGGAGACTTGCCAACACAGCACATGGCTCAAGTGAAAGAAAAGAGCACTGAAGGACATCAAAATGCAGAAAATTACTTTTTAGATTTCTTACGTTATTATTGCCTACTTTTAGAGAATCCAAAGTATGACTGTTATAATTATACGGGCAATCTGAGATCAGATAAAACAATCATCAGTGATTTAATCATTATTGGATGATTTTTTTAAGAGCTGTTGTTGAATATACTGAATAATGCCTTTATAGAGGTAGCTGTTTTCCTTGGTACAAGACCTTCCTTCTATAGATCACTCTCTCTCACTGGAAGCTTTTTGTGAGTGGTAATGACTCTGACTTAATGAATCTCTTTTCCAAGTGGGTTCTTCTCTATCATGGAATTGTTTTAGTATTGTTATTATAAGCTTCCATGGAGATAACATTTTTAATAGCCTGTTCTATTCTGGCTCCATAGCCCGTGCCTCAATTCTAATAGAAAATGCTCTGCAGAGTCACCAGGGTATAAGAATCTGATTAGAAAACTTGGGGCACTGTCTTTTTAGAAAGGATCTTTGTGTTATCCACAGCAGAGGAAAATGAACTATCCAGTGAAGGTATAATACACAAAACTAATTCAAAATCTCAATGACTACTCACTTATTCAAGCAGCTACCCCTAGAGAGAAGAGCTGAGCAAAGTGGTTATAGGTAGTCTCATGATAATATCTTTACATTCCTGCAATGCCTTTCTTGCCAAGATATTTTACAAGTAGATACAACCCAAGGGTTGTAGAATTAAAAATTATTTTAGCCCAAATAACCCTGCTTTTATTGGGATAACCAGGATTTCATTTTTCCTTCCGATTGTTACTTTCAGACTTTACCATGGACTTGACATTGTTTACCCTACAGTCACATTTCTGATTGACTAATGACTTTAGCTATAAAGAGACACAAATTGGATTAACTCAATTCTTTACTCTGGGAAATAATGCCCATTGTCTCAGTTTCTGACCTCCTATGCTCGTTTCTGAGATAGATGAAATAAAAGGTTTACAATTTTGTATGCTGATCACACCCTCTGCATTCTTATGAGGATCTAATTATAGTTGAATTACCATTGATTTACTAAAAAAAGCCCCAATCTATTGCAGTATTGTACTGTCCAAAAAGCATTAAAAAGTTGAGCCCTGTATTACAACACTTTTAAGTGCTGGCATGTTGGCCTTCATCACTACAGGCACAAGCTGCTGCCTGAGTGAGTCAGTGACTGAATAATACCTTGTTTAATAATCTTTTGTCAACTGCAGTATCTCATCTGGAGGGTTATCATAATAAAGACAGTAATTGTTTCTTCAAAGTAGCCGTTAGAGAATTGTGTAACCACTACCATTCTAATTAGAGCATTCAAGATTAATTTCAAGAGTAGTGTTCCTTGAGAGTTCAGTCACAGGAGACACTCATTTAGAAAGAAATAAAGCTGTTGTCCACGGATATGTAAAGGCTGGTCCCCATTAGATGGGATACTACACACACTTAATAAAGCACAATATTATAGCCAGTAGAGATGAATAAAGTACTGAACTCACTTTTCCAAGGTCATTGCCTGGGAACTGAAGAATTATTTCCCTAGTGTTGTCTAATGTCCAGTTCACTGAGATCTGCTGCATTTCAGATGTGCATCCTTTGAGGAAAGCACTTCTTTATATCCTGAGAGCACCAGGGCTGCAGGTGTACCTCTGGGAAATAGCCAAGCATGAGACTGGGTGACAGGCAACTTTTCCAGGTGTACCTGGGATAGACTGATCAAAAAGCTGCTTAACTTAAGACTGATTTGCACAGGCAGTTGCTCGATTTCCTGATTTTTCTCATGCAGCCCAAGTTTGACTGCAGGAAAAAAGATATAAATCAGCCTCCTTTTGAAAGCAAAGCAAATCCTAAACTCATTGGATGTGGGCAACTGTGAGATCACAGGGAAAGAGATAAATGGCATCATTTGTTCACTGTGAGAGTTGGGACAGAGCAGTGGCAATGACAGGATGCGACTGTTTCATTTGCTGTTGATTTCTGTGTGCTAACTTCATCTGCAACACTTACCAGAACGATAAAACCACTGAGGGACACCAGATGGTGCTGCTGTAGATGCTCTTGCTGCTTTGGATGCCCTGCTGATGTGGCAGTTTGCTTTTGGAGGAGTGCTCCTGGTCAGCTGTGATGCATTCAGTTTTGGGAGCTGGATCCACAGCCAGCAATATCTGCACTAATCAGGGACAGAACTCCTCTTAACTGGAGTGATGGCCTAGGAGCCCAATTTAAATTCCTGACTTCAGATTCCAATGAATTTAAGGGAAGCTGGGATCCATGTTTGGATCTGAAGTTTCCACTGAAAGAGACTTTTCTGCTTAGCCAGAATCACCTGGCTCTGACCCGCCTGGTGTGATCCAGAACAATGTAATATGTCCAGAAACCAAAGTGAATTCCAAAAGCTGCAGAACTGGTTGCCTTCTGCTAGTTGAGCAAGTAGTCTAAATGCTTTTATTGTTTTAGGATTGTGAAGATATTTTATAAACCATCCTTTTAAAGTCAACATAGCAAGCATTTGAGCCCCCTGTGGCTGCACACAAGATCTGGTGTGCTTTTGTCCCGCTGCACATCACTGGCATACAATAAATACCACCCTCTGAGAGACAAGTATTTTTATATCAGCAGTTGCACAGGGCTAAATACACAGAGATCCTCTTCAGGGTGCTGCCAAATGGTGCTTTCTCATGCATGAAGGTGTTCATATTGCTACTCACCATCCAGCCCACTGAAAACATCCCTATTCTTCTTGATAGCTCTTGATTTTCATTTTAAATGCAGAAGACACGCACATTAGTGCTACATTAAATTTTCTACATGTGCTGTGCTGATATGCTGTCAGGTCTCTTTGCTTGAATATTAATCCCTTTTTTTTGATGTGTGAAATTTTACATTTCAATCAAAGGGTCTTATTTTTCATTGCCAAACTCCTCTATGACCAAACGTCTCACAGTGTTCATTTTGTATTTTATATAAACTTCTGCTTTACCTTGTTACTCACTTATTCCCCCATACTCTTGCAAGCAGCTACAATTCTAGTACATTCAGTGAGACAACTGATCAGCTGAGGAGGACACTGGTAAAAGTATCATATTGTTCCTCTCTAGAACTGTTGTCTGGGGGTGAGTGAGCCATTTCAGCTGACTTAGTGTCAATAGGAAAGGAAGAATATCCATAGCATAAGTTTATATTTCAGCTTCTTCCTATCTAGAAATGGAAATATCCTCTCTGTGGCAACTCTTTTTTTTTTTTTTTTTTAAACCATGAAATGAGCCACAGATCAGAAAAAAAAAAAAGAAACTAAAATTTCAGTAGTACTGAAAAACAACACAATCACAGCGTTATGTAACTCCTTTCCACTGCCTGATCTCACAGGATAGCAGGAAATAGGAAATATAGTTGAAGATGATTCATCACATGCCCGAAACAGATGTTCCTCAATTTGAAACATATAATCTCAGCCAGGCAAATAGAACTGTGGTGGATGTCAGATGCAGTTACATTTGCCTGACAGATACACCACGCTTTGGAATAACATTACTGCTAATGATAGCCTACTGCTGATGGGGAGTTCTTTGTTTTGCTGTTGATGTAGAGCAGTCAGGTCTGCTTGGTGCATCCATTAGCAATAAAGCTTTGTGTGTGTGTGGTATTGCTAAATTGAATTATAATGCAAAACACAGGCGCCATCCTCCCTTCATTTTTCAAGCGTTGCCTGTGCAGCCTCAAAACCAACACTTAATAGAGCAAGTTACTCTTCTCCATAGAGTTAAACCACCTGATTTATTTCCCTTTAGGATAACAACTTCCTGTGGTTGACCTTTGAGCAGAGCTGAAGTTACATCCCCGTGCAACAGGCTGGCCTTTGTGTGTGGCTGCATCCCCATCTGATGCCTGGTGCCAATTCTAATTGTACTGGGGCCAGCAGCCACTGCCATCTCTCAGAGCTCTAAAGATTTCTTGGGGAGTATATGAAATGATAAAATGCCAGTCTCCACGTGCTCCTTAACAAAATGCAAGGGTGGCTTTGCGTTTTTCCTCAGCAGGGTTTGGTCCCTGCTCTGAAATAAAAAGCCTTTTTCATTCAGGTGAGGTCCCCATTTGCATAGCAAAGGACAGAGAGGATGTAAAAGCCTGGCTGCTGGACAGCTGCAGAGATGCTGGGATTCACCAGGACAGCTGGCCAAGCCCAGAGGGAGTTTAAACCCAAGACTGAAGATTTATACCGAAAAAATGCTTAACAGGGGTTTTATGAAGATAAAA